TCTTATGAGTAAAGGCTTTAAGGGTTTAGTACCTTAACAAATAACACATGCATACCTTAGTGAACAACAGGCAGATATACAGTTAGTGATTAGACACATTAGACACATGCTTAATGAAACAGTAAAATATATATATAGCACTTCCATTAAATGCACCTGACTGTCCAGTTTTAAATGAGATGAAAATATCTTGGGTGCAAAATTTCATGAAGGTGTCAGTCTTGCTTGTTTGCTTTCCTTCAGTTTAGACACCTACTCTGATGATACACCCTGGTGGTAAATGGAAGTTTTTATTTAAATAAAGAATAAATATATACAGACTCTTTTTTATGGTCTACATCTTTTTTTTTAGGCGAGGAGATGGCTAAGCTTCTAGGTTTATTAAAATGTATTTTTCAAGGTCATGTTTTACCTTGTGCGGAAAGATGTTTTGTTTGCTCAGACTTTCAAATCATATTTTTTTTTTCTTTTGGCTGTCAATGCTGTCTGAACTGGTAAAGATTAAAAAAAGTCTTAAGATGGACCTACTGAGTAAACTGACCCTCAACAGATATTCAAAAGGAGTGATTTTTTTATGACTTAATGCAAGGGATTTCACGTTTTGTGTGTGTGTCACAAGCAAGGATGCACAAGTTCTTTGAAGCCAGATTTTATTTTGATGTGAACATGAGAATAGGTATCACTTGTCTGGCATAACAATCTGTCATTGAACAAACAAAATAGGATTTTGTTGAGTTAATTTACTGCAGCATTTAAAAATGTGTTTGTTTTTATTTACTTACCTAACCTTTTTTTGATTTCTTACTGACAATCCATGATGTAATGTTTGATTTGGTAGTTTAGTTGAACCAGGCTCTCTGCTACCATTGAAAGTTGAGTTGCATATCCTTCTTACAAACATAATAATTTGGATTTCATACAACTGCCTGAATAGATGCAATTTCTGTACAGGTTTCTTGTCCTTTCATCATTTTCTCAAGATTCAGAGGTATTTAAAAACCCTAAAGACCCCTGCCAGCTGCTATTTAAAAAGCCTTCAATTCTAGTTAATTACTGTACTTTATTTTTGGCAACTGCTGTCTATCAAAGCCGCGCAGCTCAATCATTTGATTTCAGATCCTCACTATAAAATACTAAAACACAGCTGGGGCCCAGTTTTTGAAATACACTGCATGCACCTGTATACAATAAATTCGTGCTCATTTTGCAGACACTTGAATTAAGCTATTATTTACTCCTTTCACTGCATATTATCTATTCTCATATATCATCAAAACACCTTCGATATATATTTTAGATTGTGGGAAAATAGTTTGTCTCTAATGGCCCTAATATACAGTAGGTGGATGGAGCAGAAACCATTCCAACATGTTATGAACATTGTGATGTGAATATTCTGAATGTTGCCTGATGCTCCATTTAAAATAGGAAAGTGGAGCTACTTTTAAAAGTGGAGAGTCCTCTGTATTTAAAGAGTACTCTTCGTAAAAGTGAAGTTACAGAAAAGACTAAAGTAATTTCCCTGGACAACAGTTAAAAGATGAGTTAAGACATATCCTAAACTATTATATACTGTATATGAGATGAATATAATTCAGGAAATAAATATTAAAAAAAACAAAGGATATTCTAAAGGCAGCCCTGATTGCTAGAATCTTTGTAGCCAAATAACTGAAGCAGTAATAACTGGAAATGAACTGTCTGAAAAACAAGCCTTGTCCGGTCAAGAAGATCATAATATTTTGCATTCCAAATATGAAATTGCCCTTTTTTGTGTAAGATGATAATATAAATATATTAACTTGACAACTATGCTTCCAAAAATCACCCCTTTTAAAAATGAATTACATACAGTAAAAATGGCATATTTATATGTAATATATTGTTAATTCTTGGAATTGGAAGAAAAGCAAGGTACTTCCTACCAAATGCAAGTGTTGGTAATAAATGAATCTCATCAATTCAAAAAGGGTCCTTGGCTCTTCAGGTAAATTTAGTTTGAGAAGACTTCTTAAAAGAAATTTAAGGTTTCTTGAATCATGAATCTGATAAGATGACTTTTAATTATAATAGTGGATAAAGTGTTGTGAATAATGGTGCACTTGGGTTTTTTTATTTTCAAACGATACCAAACGACAGTGAAGTGTAATATGACACATGGATGTAAAAGAATACTATTATCTACAATTATAAGTCCTTGGTCACACGTTGTCTCACGGTGACTTTAGTGGACTGCACTATTTGGCAGGTGCCCAGTGGATGCTATTTTAATAAATGGAATTCACTCAATAGTATCTTCATCAAGGTAGTCTGTTTTTTCTTTCCTTTTAAGAAACACATTTTTTTTTTTGCTTGAGTCCTAAGATCATGAGACACAGAGCTCGCTGGAATATTGTGATAAGCAACAGGCATGCTCCAGTGGCCTAATGCAAATCTTCATAAAGAGATAAGGCATAATTTAAAATTCCTAATATTTAGAAAATCTATTTTGGAACATTGGACAAGCTGTGTAATTTTAGGAGCCTGGAAATGCAAAGACTAAACAAAGAGAAAACAGGAGAATGCATTTTGCCTAATCATCTAAGCTAACAACTCTAACCAGTGTCCGTGGAGAAAATAATAAGCTGCAAATAAATATTCCTTCACACTGCTTAGCTCTTCTTCCTCTCAGATAGCACTGAGAAATTGTTTTTACACACTTGAGGCTCCTGTAGGGCGTGTAATTATTGTTAAATTGACTGTTTGTTTTGTACTTGTGTTGTCAACGAAACTTTCAGTTCACACATCCTTTGCCCTTTACTGTTTATTGATTATGCATTGCATCCCACCACTAAAATCAACATGCCATTTTGAAATCTAACTTTCACCATGAAACTGCAAAGAAAGGTATAGAATGCAGAAAAATTCTGTACAGTACAATTCACCTCAAAAAGAGAAAAGACTTCCATATAACAATCGTGTAAGACACTCCATTCACTACATCTTTGCCATCACTTCCTTCCAGTCCTTAAATTCATCCTAGATCAAGTTTAACACAGGAGCCTGTACAGTATTTCTGCAGCACAGCAAAGCCCTCTGAGAGAACTGTATCTGTACACCTCTATTAAAGCTTTAACCTGTATTGTACCACTTGAAATGTTTCTATGGAGACAAGCCTTACATGTAGCTATGGAAACAAGAGTTCAGGTTTCAAGAAAAAAAAAGCATTAGTGAGATAAAGCGGCTGCTCAGATTTGTTTATTTTACTTTTTTAAAAAGGACTTTTAGAGATTGTTTTTTTTCAATATTCATTTCCTGTTTTGAAAAGCAAACAAATCAACTCTGTATGCAATTCAAAATAAGCTGATGGGTGGGACTATACCCCATGCCTGGCATTGTTCTTGTAGGAGAGAATCTGAAGAGGTGGGATTTTCTGTCGGTAGAAAACATGTCCAGTGTGGTCTGTCAATGACAGCACTGATTGTATTTCTGTGCTTGCTGCCTAAGGGTAATATGAGTCAGGCCACTGTTGATCATGATATAGCCATGATTTATCATTGTAAAACAGGGACCATATACAAAGAAGTTTAGAAGACTCTCTGTATCTGAATATATACAACAAACCTGACACCCCTGTGGTCTTTTAGAGACAGCTGTCTCTGCTTAACCAAATAAAGTACCTTGATAACACTAAAAGCATTCAGCACTAATTCGGTACCCATAATGAGCAGTGGGGATTTCATTATTTAATATACCATAGTTATTTTTTTTATTATACTTCTATATTCATGTACCAACACTAATCCATTTGTAAAAAAAAAAAAGCATTTGACTCTCTGGTTAAATGTCCATTACCATAAATCAACTGAGATTTTTTTCACTTAAAAGAGTCATGAAATGAAATTTCTAATGCTAAAAAGAAAACCATTAAAATGATACGTGATACCCCTGTTAAATAGGTGGATGCTGCACATTGGTGGTGGTGGAGGGGATCCCCATTACCTGTAAAACACTTTGAGTGGAGTGCCCAGAAAAGCGCTATATAAGTGTAAGCCATTATTAATTATTATTAAATAAGAACATCACAGAAAACAGACTAATGCAAGTAATCACTGTTTTTACTTCTGTATATCTAAATTTAAAAAAAAAAACATCTTGCAAAACAAAAGTACAGACATTTACAATACTATATATGCTTCTTCAATATGCGGAGAAATGCCAGCACTCCTTTATGTAGTCACAGCATCAGGTTTTCATTGAATGTCACCCATTCAGTTAGAGGTGACCAGCCCTGCCTGGACGCACGAGCAAGCTCCTGGGTTGCCATGGCTGCAGGCAGAGTGGAAAGACCTGAGGAGAGCATCCAGTGAGGGGAGAGGTCACGGGCAGCTGTGGATAGCAGATATCAGGGTTGAGCTGCCTCACGTCTCCCTGAGGCAACTAAACATGGCTGATGCACAATGACAGGAGGAGTGCACAGGCAAATGGTGCAGAATGCCTCCCAGCTATTTGTTTCCCCAGAACCTTGTCTTTTTGATTGTGAGCTTTTCAGCTGAAGTACTGTACACGGGCATCTTCCCAGCAAGCACCAGTGTGTTCTATCAGTATTAGCATTGCTACTTTCTTCCTGTTAGTATTTTGAGCAGGCAGGTGTTGTGTTTTAGTACTTTCATGGTGAGGACTGCCATTTTCTTCAAAGTATGTCATTTCATTTTCAAGAAAAATGTTGGAAAACTGGAGCAGTGAAGATTTAATGTGATATGCCAGTATACAGCCACTTACCTGAGGACCTGCTGGAAGTACCAGTCTTTAATTCTCTACTCCTGG